TATATAAATATATATGTAAATGTTGTGCAGTAGTAATAGACACTGCACAGGGGAGGGACAAGAAGCATGTTAGTTCACATATTGAAGGAACATTCAGTCCTTCATTCTTAATATTATGTTGTAGGATTGTTGTAGGAAAATTCAGCAAGGGACCTCAGGAGGTCTCTAGTTTAACCTCCTGCTCAAGGTAGGATCAGTTCTGAGGTCAGACCATTGCTCAGCACTTTATCCAGTCACGTATTGAAAGTCTCCAATGATGGATACTGTGCAGCCCCTCTGGGCAATCTTTTCCAAAACCTGACTGTACTTAGAGTGAATAATTTTTTCCCTAAATCTTATATGGACCACGCTTGAAAGCAGTGATGCATGTATCATTGCGCATTTAAGTTCGAGATTTCTTGTCCTTCCCATCCCCTAAATCAGCAGTGTGTTCAAATCTTCTTCATCCTTCTTACATAGTCCAGATAAATTGCTCTAGTGTAGGACTGTGGACATAATGTCTGTAGTGATGTCTGCCTGTGTAAAAGCCTGAAGAAACTTACGGTGGTGCAGCAGCAGCTTCCTGCTTAGGCTTCCCTTCCCGCTTATTTTTATTCTTTTGAAAATACGAATCAATGCATAATTTTTAAACAGATTGTAGAGTGAGCAAAACCAGAAGTCTCACTTTGCTTGAACTGCCTGTCACTGAGTACCCCTGATCCAGTGAATTTGTCAGTGAGATTTGTGCTGTGGGAAAGTACATAGAATTTTTCAGTACTGAATTTCAGCACTTTGATATCCTTGGGAACACTTTTTTTTCTTCTTAATGGAGAAATAATTATAGTAATGCTAGATGTTGTTATTACTCTGTTAATCATTGTTTAACCAGAAATGTAATTCTTAGTACTGTATGAAACACAACTGGTGCTTTTTTTCATCTATAGATGAAAGCGGGAATATTTGCTGTCTTCGTACTAGGGTATGTTCATATTTTACATTGAAAGACGAGAGGACAAAGATTGTGGCTAAGTTTCGTAGGAAAGGCAGCATGCGAAATGTGTGTTTCCTCAGATTTCTAGAGGGTTACAGTAATTGCTTGTAATGGGGCCATATTTTCAAATCACTCTTTGTTCTATTTCTAAAATCTTGTCCGTCACTCAGTGAACTTCTTCAAAGAACAGGTATAGTGGCATGCTATCTTAAAGGCTAGAAATGTAAGAAGTGGGAAAACTGTCTAGTGGAAGTTTGTTTACATTTATCACTGAAGAATAATTAGGTACTTTTTGACTCTTGTCATTTGTCTTATTAGGTAAACTGTACATTGGAAACAAGCTAGCCACTTATAAACTTTCCCAGCTATGTAACTTCATAAAGTACAGCACTTCATCAAAGCAGATCCATTAACCCTCTGACTGGTACTCTTCTCTTGGCTTTGATTGCAGCACCACACAGAAGCACCTAGCCTGTCATTGCTACCCCCATCAGCTTTACCGTTAGATGTATTAAACAATGCCGTTGCTGGATTTAGTACAGTGGAAGAACTTATCCGGTACCTTGAACCAGATCGGTGGCAACTGGATTTGGAAGATTTGTACAGGCCAACGTGGCAACTTCTTGGAAAGGCATATATTCATGGGAGGAAATCAAGAGGTAAATTACTCTTCTGTCTGGCCTTGCAGCTTTCTACGAGTGTGTTTTCTTAACAAAGAAACAGTAATTAAGAGCATTCTCCACTTTGAATTTTGGTTCCAAGAAAGGAATACGTTAGAAATACAGCAGAGATCATTGTTGCTAGCTATTTTCACCATTATATTATCTGAAAAAGAACAGTAACTAAACTCAATACTTAAAGGAATTTAGCAGGATAAAGTAACAAGGGGAAAAAAAATAGAAGCAGACAGGGTAGTTTTCTGTAGAGAATCTGGGAGACTTTTATTTCCACAAAGTAGCAGGGCATCTTGGCTGTGTGACATAATCTAACTTTGTGGGTTTCTTTTTTTATGGAGGGCAAAAACTTTATTTTTTGTTTGGGGTAGGTAATTTCTTACACTTACGGTATCATGTGAACAATTGGTTTATTTCCTTAGAATTGTTCCAGTCTCTACACCATATGAATTGAGAGCGATTAGCTAAATATTTCTCTTCCATGATACCTCATGAAATCCCTGTGTCCATGTCCAGTTTGATCATGCAGTTGTCAACTTAATCAGATGTAAAGTAGATTATGTATTTCAAGACTTGTGGAGCTATCTCTTGTTCAGCAAGTAATTTTCTTCCATCTACATTTGACATTCATTAATTTTCTACCACATATCATCCAAATGCTGCCCACTATTTAATGTTTATGGATTCCATGTGGATGGATAGCATGCGGGCAATGCCTCCTTCCTTGCCCACCATGCAGCATGAAAATGAATACATATGAGCATAACTGAATAGACTCCTCTGTTGACAAACATAAACTGGGTTATCATCTGATCAGCAAGAAAAGGGAGGAAGTAAAACTTTTCATAACTCAAATTTAAGTTTTTGACAGCTAATTCTTGGATCAGAGCCTAAAAATCAACCCTTCTACCCTACCTGTATTGCTACAGCTATGCACACAGCAACTAAATCAAGAGTCAAAGGGGAGGAAATCTCTTAAAAAGCTTTCAGCAATGGACCATGCCTTTCAGATAGTCATTTAACACTTCTCTAATTAAAGAGATTCAGTATTTGCCAAATGTATGCCATAAGCATACAGTAAGTGGAAGAAAAACAAAATATAATTTGTGAAACCTTACATAAACTAAAATGCAGGTGTTGGATAACATGTATATAGACAAAAGTAACTCCCTGCAAGACATATCTTAGAAAGAAACTATCAGAGTAAATCTTTTAAAGACTTCTAATTAGATGATGAAATAGATTTTTCCACTGCATAAACATATCACGGTATTGCCACATTTATCTTTAAGAGACCACCCTCAGACTGCGTTACTGAGTGTGTAATGTAATAGCCTGAGGCGGAAAATATGTCCAGTTGAGATGACATAGTATTAACTGTTAGGTCTATTCAATAGATAGGGAAAGCAAACCTTTTTTTTTCTTTTTTTTTCCCCCTTCTTTTTTAAATGTTATTCCTTCTAGTAGTATGTTTGCTATATTTAAAAATCTTTTTAAAAAATGTTTGGGAGAAGTGCATGCCCTAAAATGTTTGGTTTTTTCAAACTCTTTGATTCTATAATTAGATCGGTTTTATTTTTGCAATATTTCAATGTAAAAGCTAAATTACTGTCCTGCTTTCATAGACAAACATCAGTTTACATCTAGATTAAATGAAAATGTAATTAAAAGTGTATGTTACTTTATGTAGAGAAGAGTATTGTCCTCTACTCCTACTTAATAATTCATATGAAAAAGACTATATTTAGACAACCTAAATTCCATGGAACTTCTGTGTCTGATGTTTTCTCTGGATAAAATGCTTCCAAAAACTTCTAGCCAGGAAAGAAGAAACACCAAGTTCAGAGGCTTTGATGTCTAAATATAGTCCTAAATTCTTTTATAATATTAAACATACTTAAAAATAAAATATTTTGCTGTGCAAAAAATGATCCCATAGCTTCCCACAGAAATCTATGCATAATCATTAGATCATATTCTGAAGTCTGCTTAAGAAGAAGAGTCACAATCCAACCATAGTCCTTAGCAGATACTTTTCTCATATAATTATATGACTTTTTTTTTTTTTTAACTCCTCATTTGGGGTTTTGTAACAGCCCTGTCCTATTGTAGGAGCCAGTATGAAATTTACACTCCCAGGAACATCTCCAAGGTGCTTAGGAATGAAAACCATCTTGCTGTTATCTGTGCCCACACACAAATGCCTCAACCAGAATTTAATTTGTTTCGTTGACTTTGAGAGCAGCATCCAGCTGGAAAAAAGTTTTGGCAAAGAGGGTTCCCCGTGGTACTCGATACACGTCCCAGAAGATGCCAGACAGTAGCATTGCCAATTGCAGAACACAGTTACTTTCAGGCTGGTGTGAACATGAATTACTTCAGTTGTATGTGCCAGTGAAGGCACACTTTTGAAACAGACTTTACTGTAGACCTACCTGCATCTACATTTTTTCTCCCTTTTCTTTCCTTCTCCCCTTATTTTTATTTTAGTGTTTCCCATTCATGTGCTACTGCAGAGCCTTCCATTCCTCCTGAGCTAGTGCTAGACAAAAGAACTTTGACTGTTGTGTCAAACATGATACGTGAGTGGAAGCCAAGTTGAAGGAGTGTTTAAATGTTCACATTATAACAGGTACTGTAACTCAGTGCACTTGGGAAATCCACATAACCTTTTATTGTGGTTAAGTAAACACTTTTAAGGGAATATATACATTCTCTCATCTAACTTCATGCCCACAGTGTGTTAAAATAAATTTTGGACAGACAGATACTCTTTGAAAAAATAACAGCTTCATTCACACACTTCAAAGAAGTGATTATATAAGCACTAGATAAATTTGCCACAGACCTTTTAATGAAATTGAATTACATAAGGTAGGGCAAGGGTTCATTGTGAGGTATAATAGCAATATACCTTAGTACATTGTAAAACACAGAAACCAAACATGAATTTTTTCATCTCTCCTGAAGCCTGTTGTAACAGTAAGGCACACTAAAATCTACCTGCCAAAAGCTGATTGCATGCTCTTCCACAGAACCTTTTTAAAATTTGGGTCTGCAGGTCTGAGGGGTTCAGTTCAAATTCATTCCAATTTTGCGACAAAATTTGTAATACACTTGCTGCTCATTTTAGTGTGTTGCCCTTTCCTCTATGTTATAATCACAGCTAGTATCGGGAAATGCATGCATTCCTCAACTGCTGCCAGTAGGCAGGGGGTAACGGAGAAGCACAATGCCACACAGGCATCTCTCTCCCGCTGGTCGGTGGGCTTGCTGGAAGAGGCATCAGTGCCCAACTTCAGTTTTCAGTTTCTCATGGTGAAGGGCTAAGCAGCAATTGTGTTAGGACGCGTAAGCTTAGCTTCTTGAAATTCACTGTACCAAGCATGTCAGTCTCTGTAGAAATCTACCAGTAGAAAGTATTAGCAGAACTAGCATTTCTCTCGTTGTGTTTTAGGCATTTTATCCTCATTCAGACGGTTCACTTATTATATGTTTGAAAACGTAACAGGAGAAAGAAGTACTCCATTCCTATCCACAGTCCTTGATTAATGGAGCTAGACATGTCCACGCTCTAAATGACTCAGCCTACAGCTATTAGCTGATCAGAAGAGCTTAAATCATTTCTAATTTCTCACAGTGAATCTCTCCCCTGGAAGTTTTGTCTCTCTTTTCCTCTGCTCCCTTCTCAGCTTTGCCCAAGGAATGCTCTTGCAGCGTGGGAGGCAGGCTGGCGTCCTATCAGTAACTTTATTGGACTTATTACACACTCCTTGCTTTTAAAAATCAGGTTGTTTATTTAGGAGCCTATGTTAACCTGATAGTGATGGAATGAAGTGCCCTAGCTTGGCATTCACTGTAAGTGCAAGCAGAGAAAAGGCTTCAGTGCATTTAACTGACCTTTCACAACAATAAACCCTTACTTATGGATGCCAGTATATGGATATGGTCTGCAAAAGAAATGTTTGAAGAAACATGGAATGAAATTGCTGCCCAAAGATCTGCTCCTGAGGCAGCAGTAGTGAGCATTTCTACTAGAGAAATGCAGCTTCTAAATTTTCTTTATTTCTTATGTGTTTAAATAGAATTGAGAGGTATTATCTTGCCTTGATAGGCTGAAGTTCTTCTTGGTGACCTCTAGAGGCTCTTGACATAGTCAGTAGAGGGGAAAAAAGGTATTTCTCTAGAGGGTGAGTCAGATCAGGAACATATTTTAGCTTTATTTTATATCTTTTTATTTATGAACTGCTAGCAATAACTATAAAGTATTTGTCAAGTAACATCAATGCCTGGGATATTTTTTTCCCTAGTTTCTTCTTGATTTAGCTCAAAAACTGTTGGTTTAAAGCTCTTTGCTGCTTTGTTCGAGACCTCTATTTCAGTCATCTCAATAGCCATATTATCATAGGGTTTTCTTTTTCTTTTTTTCTTTTTTTACCAGATAGAGTACCCCTGTGAATTAGGCATTATTTCTGTTCCTTAATGGTGGTAGATTTGGAGAGAAACAGTTCAGACGAAAGATCCCAGATTGTGATCATTATAGTCTGCCTTTTCTGAAATAAATGAAATTACATTGCTTTTCACCAAAGTAAAAAATGATTAATTTTTTCACTAAACCAATCCCATTTTTTTCAGTCTTAACTGCCTCTTTCAAGGCCTGTTATTTCTTGGTTATGCAGCTAAGGTGAACCTAAAGGAGCTTGCCCTGTTTCAGATCTTTTCATAAGCTTGCTGTTCAGCCATTGCATAGTGAATTTTAGTGTGATACAGTTTATAGGGAAACTGGTGCCAAATATTAGTATCTTTAACTTGCGCTTCAATTTAGGTGCTTGCAAGGAGGAGCTGTATTTTATTTAAGACACATCAAGTGGAAATGAAACCTAGAGAAGCAACAGAAATTCATATATATGCTGCTGTGAAGGAGGAAGGGAAGAATGGAGTCTACTAATAGTTATATAGATACACATACTTGTGCACTTATTTTTGCCTGTATTCACTGATGATGACATAACTTCTTGAAGTTCTTAGTCCATAGAAGTGTGTTCCTTTTAGATATAAATGGTTTGGTTCTTTCTTATACTTACATCGCCCTTGCAAAGAAGCAATAATGGAAATTTTAGCAGGGAAGAAGTTTGAATGCTTTATGCAAATGAATAAAAAATGTGTTTGGAGGTTTGCAGGATTCTTAATTGCTATGTGTGTTTCTCCAATCCAAAATTAATATAGAATAGCAACACTAGAGCTCAGAGTATTAGCGTGAACAAAGGGAACTCCATTAGTGTTGATTTGATAAAACATTTCCTGGAACATAGTAGCCAAAGCTTGCTTTGTTTAACTTGAACCAACTCTGCCAGAGTTATAAAATAATTGGTGAATACTCCTATACAATAATCATTCTATTAAGGTTTCATGGTATTCATATAACGGCAGTATTATATTTGTGTGCTGAAACTGTACCACCTGCACAAAAATGAACTCTCTTCAAGGGTTCTGCACTGCTGAAGTTAGTTTACCACCAATGAAGTTGGATTACGAATCAGAAAAGCACTGGTTTGTTTGTCTTTTTTGCAGTGGTCGATCTCAACCTCCTAAAGGAGGAGGTGCGGCTGTATAGTTGTACTCCTCGCAACTTCTCAGTGTCATTGAGGGAGGAGCTGAAGCGAACTGACACCATCTTCTGGCCATTGTGTCTTCTGGTTAAACGTTGTGGTGGAAACTGTGCCTGTTGTCATCAGAGTTGCAATGAGTGCCAATGTGTACCAACAAAAGTCACCAAAAAATACCATGAGGTACGCATACATTTGTGTGTTTGGAAATACTGAAAGCCAATTAAGGAATTTATTTTTACTATAGCAATGCACCAATATTAATATTTTAAAATTTTATGTATTGCACTTATAGTAAATATTTTTTTACCATTTTAATGAGGTGTTACATAAAAAAGTAATATCTGCCCTGTTAAAATATTTTTCTGTGGAACTATTAAGTCATTCCTGAGGTATTTGTTTACTGGTGCAGTTCAGATACATCACAACCACACCTTCTTATTCAGCTTTCTCTGGTGTTAGATGTGAACTTTATGAAGGAATGGATATCTGTCCATTTCCATTGTTAGAAATCTGTAGCTAAAATTATTTATTATAGAATTATCTAATAATTCCATTGGGTTAACTATACTATTAGCCCTTAAACAAAATTAAGCAGAAATATGAAACTGCAAGATTCTCTTCTTTGATAAAAGCAAGTATCTGTAGAACATGTTTTAATCAATTTTGTAAAGGGCTTGAGGTAACAGCAAAAATAATAATTATTGGGTTGAATAAATGAAGAAATTCAGCTGAGGAAAGCCTATTCTTTTAATAGGCTTCCTGTCATCCAGGGTGTTTCCAGTGCGATCTACCTGATAGTCTAGGTGTGTGATGAAGCAGTTGCTGCTTTCTTGATGCTTGGCTTCTTCTCCTTCAGGTTCTTCAGCTGAAGCCAAGGATTGGTGTCCGGGGATTGCATAAATCATTGACAGATGTACCCTTGGAACACCATGAGGAGTGTGACTGTGTGTGCAAAGGGAATACTGAAGGATAAACATGATTTAATTGTGCTGTTTTCTTTCAAAGCACATTCAATCAATGGCTGATTCTATTATGGGGCTTGTGCATTATCTCCTTCTGTAATCTCAGTTGTTTGCTTTGGGGATCTTCCATCTTCAAGATTTACAGTAAGCTCTAAAAAGAGGAGAAGCCAAACTGGGATTATATGTTGTGTGACAGCTCTGTTTGGAGGCTCAGTGAAAGGATGGGAGAAAGGCATCAATGAGGGATTTAAAATATATGTATTGTTTTTGTCCCCCACGATTTTTTTGACAATACATGGATTTATAATTTAGGAGTAAAAGTAAAGTTAGAAGGCTCACATCATGGAGACGTGATCCTGCTGGCTGTCTCATTTCTACAGCTCCAGTACATCTGGCCTCTGGTTGAAAACACCTGAAATCTTTCTTTCTGTGTTCAACTACTCCTATGTACTCTAAATCGAAGTGTTCTCTGTTGTATAAACTTGGGTTAAAACAGACTGTCTTGTTCAGAATTAAACTTAATTTGTCTAATGCTGGTAGGAAAGACTGGATTTTTCCATACGCTCTAGTAAAGTTCCTGCCTTTTAGAAAGAAGACTGGACAATAATGTGAGCTAAGGAAGCAAACATTGAAAAGAACAGTGCCTTTATTCTTACTACTATGGCTGATGATTTTTTGTTGGTTTGTTTGTTGTTTTTTATTGTGTACATTTTTATACTCTCCTTTTGACAATATAACTATTTGCTTTTCTAAACTTGTTAAATATATCTATTTTTACCAAAGGTATTTAATATTCTTTTTTTATTACAACCTAGATCAACTATTTTTTAGTTTTGTGAGACTTTAAAGCCAGATTTATACAGTTGGAGGAACAGAGATGTAGTTACAATGGGAAAGGAGCATGATCTCTTTGCAGTTTGTTGCTACACAGTGAAAAAATACAGTTTTTTACCTGGTTGCACAGTAATAATAAACAGAGATGTGTGGATGAAGCTCTAAGCTTGCTAGCTCCATGACACTGAAAATATGAGAGGCAGACATTACTATAACTGGTTTCAGAAGCTGACTTTAAAAATTCCCTCTCTCCATTCTGGCCTTTGTTCCAGTAGAAAAGAAATGAGCATAGATAGGTGCATTCTGGCTTGTTTAACTCTTTAATTTCTTTAAAGTAGGACGATCTACAACATAAGAAAAGAAGCCCAGTGGCTTACAGCCTTCATGATGCATCATGGTCATGGGAAGGCAGCCTTGTTAATGTTGAAGTGTATGGTTTTCCATTGATGGTTATAGCTGTTTAAGTACTGTTCACTCACAGGATCGTAACACTCCTCAGTACAGTTTGATGAACTATGGTTTTGTTCTTCTGTACGTTATATTCTTTAACCAATACACTTATCCCACCCTATGCAAATTGAAAAGGAAACAGTAAAGTATTTTGCTTGTAAAATGCTTTAACATTATGCCTAGTTTATTTTTTTGACTATTGGATTTGCAGATTGTAATGAATCACCAAATAAAGTAATAATGCTAATTTTGGGAGAATAAATGTGTCTGTGTGGTTGCATATTTGTATCTGCTCAATGTACGATAGTAGGAAAAGTTAAGGAGGGTGATTTTTTACTTACTATTTTGAAAGTCAGTTCAGAAACAAAAAACAGAAACAGAAATCTTCTGTTGCCAAGACTTCCACTTGCTTTATTAATTCTGTTTTACTGTAAATCCACAAGAATAAAAACAGAAAAGAAGGAATGTGATGCTATTTGTATAAACATTCAAAATATTCAAAATTGTGTGCATGTGAAGCCATCGAATTGAAATAATATCTCTGTTATCATTTCCATCGTGACAATGAGTTCTGATGAAAATGTGGAGGTTTTTGCAAGGCGGTATGACTTTCTGATATCAGTTCTGGAAAATTCTCAGGTGGCTTCTAATTCTGTCTTAGCTGGTCTGTTTTGCCCCACCCTCAACCTCCTACTGAATAAGAAAAATATCTGGTGTAAATGTGACATCTAATTATCCAGTCTGAACATTAACCCTGTATCAGAACACAGAATTATGGTCACGCAAGACACATGGTTTACCTGAATTTTGAGTCTTTGACTAGAATAGTGTTTTGCAGGGATGTTGGGGATTTTTTTGCATTAATATTGTCCTCTTTTTGTGATTTAAAGAGCTTTTGAAAAGCAAGTTGAGATAAAAGCAGAAATCAGAGCCTCCAGCATCATAATTCAGCAGAAGAATTGAAAAATGTAATTCTGTTACAGAAATTTCTGCTGTCGGAAATGCAGGAGGTCTCGTCCTCTCTGTGGAAGTGGAAGAAGGCACAACATGCATTTTGGGGTAGGTATTTGGTGGCAGCAGAGGAACGGGGAGTTTCTGGAACCATACAGGGTATGGAGGGTAATGTTTTCCAAAACTCACAAGTATTTCTTCTATTGCCCCCCTCTGGCTTTGGCTCACTTTCTTCCTTGCCAATTTCTTGCACCAGTTTCCTTCCCAATTGCTTGCTATAGACCTGCATTTGAACTCCTTATCCCTTTGCTTTTACATCCCCCTTCACAGTGCTGTCTCTCCCATCTGATCCAAAATCATCACCCCTTCTGTTTGTCATCCTCTTGCTGAGCATTGTTAAGCCCTTTTCCTCCTCCTTGGCTCCGTGCTGAAGGTGTGTCTTCTCACTACCGCTGCCCAGACTTTGTTTTTCTGCTTCCCCTCAGATGTTCAGGGGATTTAGCACTCCACCTCTTCCCTAGCTTGAAGAGCACGGACGGGATCAGTTGTTTTAAAGGACAGGATTTGGGAAAGATACCAACCAAGCGAAGCAATGAAGGGTGCAGTTTTCCTGCTTTGTGCTATGTCCTCTGTCCTGCTGGGTAGAGCAGCTGCCCCCCGGCAGTGGGTGACTTCTGCTGGTGATCTGACGGGACGCACCCGTACTGCGTCCTGCCTGGGTGCGGTAGGCTTGGGCTAGAGATCCTGCTGAGTTCACCGTGGTCTTTGCATCCAGAAGAGTCTACCGTGTTTTGAAGATGTCCTTCTGACAGCGCAGGGGAGCTGCTGTCGCAACAATAAATCACGTTGGTGACCTCCCATTGGTGGGAAAGGGTGAGGTGAGGTAAAATGGTGGGACTAGGCGAAGACAGGTGAGGGGGCACGGGTGGGCCGGGCCAGGCCAGGGGCACTGGGGGGGAAATACAGCAGAAAAGGACGAGAGAGAAACGGTGCTGATGACTGCGGTCTCCTAATTTGCTGACAGCTCCCCCGTGGTGAGGCCTGTACCTCCCTGACACCTCCCTTCCTTGGGAGGTTTTGTCAGCCCCAGAGGCAAGGCTGTCCTCAACAGGCGGTGTAGGGACAGTGCCAGCCAGCGGAAGGGATGAAACAGGGACATGCACGGCTCTGGGTTTAATTGGGATGCCTTGAACATTGCTGGTACTTAGTCTTAAACTTTGAAAAATATACTTGATATAAAGCTTCAGAATTGCACGTAAAAAATGTACTAATTACGGTAGGTACAGTTTTAGCATAAAGGGATTATTTCACACTATACTTATAGAAACAATTGCCTAACTCTACCTCTCCTAATTTGCTTAAAATTCCCCCATTGAGAGGATTTAATTTTTCCCTCTGAAGATTTTCTTACCCAAAGATGAAATTCTTCAGTCAGGTGTTTCTGAGGAGCATTAACTTCTTGCAGCTTCAAGGTGAGCCAAGGCTTGTTATACCCACAGTTACACACAGCATTCAGGAAACGCCCCTCTGAGGTTTTTGTTTCATTATTACTATTTACGTTCTGTTGTTTCTAAGAAAGAAGTGTGGTAAAAACTAACTGAAGATATTAATCATGGGTAACTAACAAGCAAACAACGGTGCCTTTCACAATTACAGGTCATGGCAGCTGAATGCCAAGGATGCCTTATGTGTAGAAAAAGATTGACAAAAGTGGGTAGAAAGCCCAAGATTTTCAATGTGGAATAGAAGTTGCAAGCTTTGATCTTACATCTTTGTGGAGATTTTTTTAAATTGTTGCTGTCTGTTTTAAGCCATGAGCTGCTGAACTGCGTTAATATAAGCATCAGTATTTGGGAATAAAGAGGGAAATGACTGTTTCCAATAGGCCTAAGCAGTAAAACCAGCTGAGTGGAATAAAGTAGCTCCTGTAAACAGACAAAATCCAAATAGCGTAGGCTGCATTTTATAGGTTTTATCGTATTCCCAATAAATGGCTTCGGCTAAAAGTATTTATTCCCCCCAGAGGAATAGGTGGGGAGCTGCCGACTGATGGTGAGCCTTGTTTTTATGGATTCTGTAGATATTCACATTCCTGGAACCCTCCTGTCAGCCGTGGCCGGCATGGGAGTGATGTAGAGCAGCACCAAAAACTGTAGTCATCAAGGGCGTTAACTGCAGATCTGTTGGCTCTTAAACTCTTTTAAGTTTCCTTGCTTTTTGTCTGCCCGATTGCACAGGCTCACAGCTCCTTTTCAGCAGAAGAGGAGGAAAAAAAAGTTGTGGATGTTACAACAGAGTGTGTGGAGGGGAAAGACAGACAGAAGCCAAAGCTACCTTATTTAGTGGCTACTGCATCAGCTAAGTAAGCTGTTGCCTGATTGCCTTTCTAACGGAGGACAGTGTTGAAACTCTTATAAATTTTCAATTCAGATACTAGCTGCTTAAATAGTCTCCTTTTGATTGCACCAAACTCTGGAAATAAAAATTGGAAACATTTACTTTCTGTTTGATTTCTGAAGATACAGAGTAGTGCTACTGTTAAAAGCTTTCTCATAAAACCTCATGCAGAGATGCTAAAAGAATCATGATTGCAAGATTCTCATTCAAACCAAGCTTTGAAGCTAAGTAGACCAACTTACTTTTCTGATGCTGCTTGTGATATTTAAATTAGTTTGAGTAAATTTGCTCTTCATATCGTTTTTTGCATGGGATGCTTTATCAGACAACTTGACTTTCAAGCTCCTTTCATGCACCAGGGACAGTGTTTTTGTTTGTTTGTCTGCCAAAATCACAGAGTAAAAATATGGCTACTTTTTTCAGCATAAATAAAGCTTTTCAGAGAAGACAGTTTACCTATTGCCTCACTGAAACTTCCCTAGATTGTTGAAAGGAAAATAAGCTTACAGCTCAGTCATGGGAGAAAGATGACAGCTTTTTTTTAAAGTGCGATTCAGAGCACGTAAGCTAGATTCCTGCTCTGAATTGTGCTCTGTGTCAGTCTTCATTGAGCTCGTCTGTCTTCATAGAGTCAAAGCCTGGCCCTCCCAATTGAGGCAGCTGTGTCAGATGCATGAGGTTAATCAATGGGAATATCCCATTTACAGGCCTGTTTTCTGAACAAAACGTCTCTTTCTCAAAGAAGAGTCTCAAGAAGTTCTGCAGCCTGGAATGGTTTTCCATATAGCCGATTTGGCAAGCTTTGATTTTGCCTGGTGAAGTAAAGACAGAAGTGCCGGTTCAACCCAAGCCAATGCAGCCTTCCTCAGATTCTGCAGCACTGAAGGCAGATCCAAGAC